AACGGCTTCCCGTAAAAACCTGCAAATCGTGAAGCATCTGGAACGCAACTATTAATTAGTCAAGCCCCGTATTTCGCAGAGATTCTTCTCTTGTTGTCTATATTTCTCTGCTCTCGCTTTCTGATTAATTTTAGCCATTGATATACATATGTACATATATATGTATAAACAACCATATAAAAAATTGGCATTGATTATTAACATTTTACATGTGATCCCATCTGATCAAATGTTTTGATTACAAAAGCTACATATATACATATGCAGGTGCATACATCTATGTAATATATGCAGTCTGCGTGTATGGCCTTTCAATGATAAAATTGGTCATTCTATTCCATTTAACTCGGCAAACTAGCTGGAACTCATCGCACTACAGAATTATTAAATAAGATTTCTAAGTTATCACTTATAACAAAAACTTTCACTTACATTCTATCACAAACCAACTTTACATAATGAATCCCCTTAAATACATAAGTCATATGCAATCAGCCACTTGCTGTTCGATTAACCCACTATTTAATAGCCACTCGTTTCACTAACTTAGCACAATAGGATACTTCCCAGCGATTTCAAATAATTTTGATTCTTATCAATAATTCACTAACCTTTATCAGGAGAGCAAAACAAAATTATAAAAATAATGAACTGCGCTACGCCAATCATGGCACAATTTAGGAATGTCGGAAAAACATCGATCCATCGAAAATATCGATGTTTTGCTTCGATGCCTCGAAAATTTTCTACTCGATGTATAAATGGTCGATGTACTGATACATCGATGTTTTATTAAAACTGACATCTCTAGTACATTGAACCGTTATACGATGTTTCCTCGATTCGTAATTCGCTCTCTAACGCTAGGCGCACATTGCATCCGATAGGCCGACCGATTTCGGCCGAACAATTTGACCGTCCGACCTGATACGCACACTTAACCAGATTATTTGCCGATCGCACACACAAATCTAGTTTTCATTACAATTTTGTAAGCAGTGAAATATTTTGATACATTTGAATTGACATACTCTAAACATGTGAT